TCTTCTCTTTGAGAGGATTAGTTGATAGTATACAAGTGGCTAAGTTTATATTGTAATTTGAGGGATAGTTAATAACACTTAAGTACATGTTCAGAGAAGAGATGTTAAACGGGCTAGTCCTAGCGGGCTTCGAGCTAAACGGTCCTAGTCTAAAAAGTACAGACTTAAACGGGTCACCAATAAAGAGACCTAACCCTAACCCTAGCGGGCCTCAGGCTAAACTGGCTACAATAATAATAACAATAACAACAACAACAACAACAACAACAATAATTATAATAATAATAATAATAATAATAATAATAATTTATAAAAATTAGAACGACCAGTTAACGTATTTTTAACGGCTATTTATTATTTACCACTCTATATATACAACTACACTTCATATATAAACAAATATTACACACTCTTAAATAACATATTTTTTGCTGAAAAGAAAAAAAAAATTGTTCAATTACTTATAACTAGTACGTACCCCGTGCGATGCACGTGACAGAGATATTAAATGAGTTATTTTCACAGGCTCTGTCCGTTTAAGTCTAAAAAAGCAATATGGTTATCATCCATTTTCCACATCTTTTAATCAACGTTAAGTCTAAAAAATAGTAGTGTTATAAACTACTTTCTACCTCTTTTAATCAGCGTTGTTTTTTTAGCCAGAACATTAAATATGAGCATGTTAGGGATAACTTGTAAATAATTAATATATTATCTCACTAACACATTGTACAAATATAAATTTGATTTTAGTATATATATTTATTCGTTGATATAAAAGGAAATAACAGTTTTAATTATTCTTGTTCACCATATAATACTTCATTATTATTTTATAATAAACTTAATTGTCATATAATGTCATTTTTATTTATAAAAATTATAGAAGTTGTACATCTCTTTTTCTTTTTATTTATGTAGTGAAAAATATTCAAGGCACGTTATTATTACTTATTTATGTAATCAATTTAAAATATTTAAATAAATCTAAAATTAAACAGTGTATAAATATTTTACAAAATAGTCTCTCTAAGTCTGCGATTCCCAATTCTGCGAAACCCCTCCTCCCCAAATCAGATCTCCTTGCCTTCCTCCGTGACGGATTAGCTCAGCCAGGGGTCGTCCTTGACCGCCTGGCCCACTCCCGGTGCAACGCGCTTTCGATGTGGTCGTGGATTGTTTGGGGTGCGGTGGTCCGGTCCGTTGTTGCTGATGGGGTCTCGGTGGGAGGAGTCGAATCGCCCGGCCGTCGTTCGACTGACGATTGGAGGCTCTTTCTTCGATTGTCGGCGGGGCTCTGGTTCGCGGTGTTTTGCCCTTCCATTTGGCCCTTCTTTGTGGCTGTTGGGCTGTGGCTCTCCGGCGGGGTTTTCACCATGTTAGGTGGGCTTTGCCGCTGGTCCTCGGCAATTAGTGGTGGTGTCTGGGGGTGCGAGAGCCGATGAGTGGGGTGGGATCCCGGTTGCAGTGTCGGGCTGATGTGGCAGTTGGGGTTGAGGGCCCGGGCCCAGGAGCGAATTTACCTTCACTGCCCCCCTCAAATTTTAACTTTTTTTACTAATAATATTATAAATTTTAATTTGCCCCCTCTTAAATTTATTTTTGCACCCCCAAATTTTTTTTGAAACATCATTCACCACTCAGGTCAATTTGTCTACAATTGTCAATTGACAATTCAACACTTCTTTTATTTTATATTAATTTTGTATACTAATTATTATCATTCTACAATTTTAATTGGCCCATATAAAAACCTCAAACTCTCTTTTATTGTCCAGCCGTTCAGGCCCACAATTTTAATTAATATTGCCCATTGCATAAGTTATTAAATCTTGGCCCACAATTTTCAACCCTTAAAACTTATTGTTGCGCTCAACTCTCCCTCTCTTTACCTCTCAAACTTCAGACACAGACTCCATACTTCGATTCCAAATTCTCGCGTCGACATCTTCTTCTACTCCAAACGACTAATTGAGCAATAAATCAAGCACCTCCTTAGTCTCTTTCATTTTTTTTTTCTAAGTCTCTTTCATTTTCATTTAAGGTAAATTTTGTTATATTTTATCTCCTTCATAAATTCCGAAATTATGGTTGTTTTTAGGATTTTGAAAATTATTGTTTATTTCATTTGTTCTTGTTGTTTAATGCTGCTTAATTATTGACTAGTGAGAATCCCGTGTGATGCACGGGGTTTTCGTACTTTAGAACTTTTTTTTAAAAAAAAACTTTATTTTCACAATATATTAGCATGCTGACCCGTTTATATTATTATATAAATAATACTTTAACATATATATTTATTTTAATACAAAATAATAATAATTTTACATATTTTGGTTCATCATAATACTCAATTATTAATCTATCAAAAAATCTATTATCATGTAATGTCATTATTATTTATAGTACTTGTAGAAGTAATATATTTGTTATATAATGATAAATATGTAATGTATATTAATATTATTTATTGATGTAATTAATTTAAAAAGATATAAGCAAATTTAATGTTTAGTAGGAATGTGGTTATATGTAAGTTGAGATAAAATGAAATGTATCAAAAAAATCTGCTTATGATATTTTCCTTTAAATGTTTGAATGAATTTGAAATTGAAATTACAAATCAACTTCAAATTATTCAAATAATTTTAAAAAAGTTACCAATTGTAGTAAAATGTACGTGACAATATATTATAAATATACATGACGTCAGTAATTTTATGAATCTTTAAGTTCCTAATTGTTTAGATATGAAACTAATTAACTTATATGTTAAGATAATATATATAAATATATGTATTATACGAAATATACACGTGACAAGTTATTATATTTGTTTATATATTATTTGTATATTTGTTTGTATTGTTTATTATATTTGTATATAAATATATCGTTTATATATTTGTCTGTATTGTACGACAAATTATTATTTTTGTTTATATATTGTTTAAATATATATTGTTTAGATATGAAACTAATTAACCTATATGTTAAGATAATATATATAAATATATGTATTGTATGAAATCTTTAACGTGTTTGTTAAATTTTTCCCCTAAAAATTCAAAATACATTTTAGCCATGTTTTGTTTGAAGTTTGAAATTCAAATATGCATCTATATAACAAATCTCATGATTTGTGCTAGCATTAAATGTTAATTAATTTTTTATTAAAAAAACTAGTACGTACCCTGTGCGATGCACGGGACATCCATATTAAATGAGTTATTTTTACAGTCTTTGTCGGTTTAAGTATATAAAGCAATAGAGTTATCATATATTTTTCACCTCTTTTAATCAGCGTTAAGTGTAGTAAAATAATTAACGTATTATCTCACTAATACATTTATACTAATAGAGTTATCATATATTTTTCACCTCTCACTAATACATTTATACTAATATAAATATGTTTTTTTTGACGAAACGATAGAGGTACTATTAATAACTCAAACGGACCACGTTCGAATATTACAAACCAACCGGAAAGGAGAAATGGGAGGACACGCTCAA